TGCTGGAAAAAGGGAGGGGAAGGGTTGTTTACTGGCAAATTATATTTCCATTATACATAATGGCCAATTAAATTTTGCAAGAGTTTTAAATATTTAACAAAATTTGCTAAATCCTCATTAAATACCGAAAATAGTGGGGTTACGAGCTGCTTGTTAGAGAAAAAATTGGCATTCGTAGTTATAAAAAAGATTTTCGGAGTCATAAAACAAATTTCGGAGTATTTTGCTATAGATTATATGACTTTCGGAGTCGCCTACCATGGAGTGGACTGCTTAAATGATTTTTCGGAGTCATTTACTATCGAGTTCATTAATTTCGGAGTCAATAGATGGTTTTCGGAGTAATCTGATATGCAGCAGATGAATTTCGGAGTCATCTCCTGTACCGCTGATGACTTTCGGAGTCATCTCCTATACCGCTGATTACTTTCGGAGTAATTTCCTATACAGTAGATGACCTTCGGAGTCATCTTCTAACATCATATGACGTTCGGAGTCATCTCCCATACAGCTGATAGCTTTCGGAGTCATCTCCTAGACAGCAGATGACTTTCGGAGTCATTTCATAGGCAGCAGATGATTTTCGGAGTCATCTCCTATACAGTAGATGACTTTCGGTGTAATTTCCTATACAGCAGATGACTTTCGGAGTCCTCTCCCATGCAGAAAATGACTTTCGGAGTCGTTTCCTGTACAGCAGATTACTTTCGGAGTCATCTCCTGTACAGCAGATGACTTTCGGAGTCATCTCCAATACAGTAGATGACTTTCGGAGTAATTTCCTATACAGCAGATGACTTTCGGAGTCATCTTCTGACTTTCGGAGTCATCTACAATACATTTCATGGCTTTCGGAATCATCTCCTATACATCAGATGGCTTTCGGAGTCATTTCCTGTACGGCAGATGATTTTCGGAGTCATCTCCTTTACAGCAGATGACTTTCGGAGTCATCTCCTATACTTTCGGAATAATTTCCTATACAGCAGATGACTTTCGGAGTCATCTTCTATACAGCAGATGACTTTCGGAGTCATCTTCTGACTTTCGGAGTCATCTACAATACAGTTCATGGCTTTCGGAATCATCTCCTATACATCGGATGGCTTTCGGAGTCATTTCCTGTACGGCAGATGATTTTCGGAGTCATCTCCTTTACAGCAGATGACTTTCGGAGCCATCTCCTATACATCAGATGGCTTTCGAAGTCATTTGCCATACGGAAGATGACTTTCGGAGTCATCCCCCATACTCCAGATGACTTTCGGAGTCACCTGCTTTACTGTAGATGACTTTCGGAGTCATCTACTGCACAGTAGATGATTTTCGGAGTCATCTACTGTACAGTAGATGACTTTCGGAGTCGCCTACTAGACAGCAGATGATTTTCGGAGTCATCTACTGTACAGTAGATGACTTTCGGAGTTACCTGCTATACAGTAGATGATTTTCGGAGTCATCTCCTATACCTCATATGACTTCCGGAGTCATCTCCTATACCTCATATGACTTCCGAAGTCATCTCCCACACAGAAGATGACTTTCGGAGTCATCTCCCACACAGAAGATGACTTTCGGAGTCATTTCCTATAAAAAGTATGACTTTCGGAGCCATTTCCTATAAAAAGTATGACTTTAGGAGTCATCTTCTAACTTTCGGAGTAATTTCCTATACAGAAGATGGCTTTCGGAGTCATATCATATACATCAGATGGCTTTCGGAGTCATCTCCTATACAAAAGATGATTTTCGGAGTCATCTCCTATACCTCAAATGACTTTCGGAGTTATTTACTGCACAGTAGATAACTTTCGGAGTAACATTCCACTCAGCAGGTGTCTTTCGGAGTCATTTACTTCCCATTATCTGAATTTCGGAGTCATCTCCCATCCAGCAAACATTTTTCGGAGTCATCTACTACCCAGAAAAATATTTTCAGATTAATCTCTGAAGATTTCATGTTTTTCGGAGTAATTGACTATAGTATACGTCACTTTCGGAGTCAGATACTTTTAAAAATTTTCGGAGTTCTTTTCTATTCATCATAAGCTTTTCGGATTCTATTTCCCTTTTTCAAAATTTCCAAAAAAAAAAAGACTTCTGCCTACCATCCACTCTCCCTTTCCAATTCTTGACCTGGTATAGGTCATTTTCGGAGTCAGATACTATTCAAAACTTCACTTTCGAAGCGCCTTTTCTATTCATCAAAAGCTTTTCGGATTCTATTTCCCTTTTTCAAAATTTCCAAAAAACAAAAAGACTTCTGCCTACCATCCCCTCTCCCATTACGATTCTTGACCTGGTATAGGTCACTTTCGGAGTCAGATACTATTCAGAACATCACTTTCGAAGTCCTTTTCTATTCAGTGAAAGGCTTTCGGATTAGTTTTTCTCTTTTAAATTTTCTAATAAAAGAATCTTCTGCCTACTCTCCCCTGCCGATTCTTGACCTGGAAACCCCAAAATCCAAACAAGTGGCCCCGTCACACTGGGACGAGACCTCAACTCTGGGGGGTTTCAAATGACATGGATCTTAGCTGAGCTAGAGCTACGCAATTTTCTAATTAAATGCATGCAAAAATTATTTATTTCCATATTTGAGTAGTTCGGTTGGGTGTTTGCCGTTGTTGTTATTTTTGTTATCATGTAAATGAACAACAAAAACATCAACAACTACAACATGCATTGCAATCCGAATTGAAAAGGCAAAAATATAAATAAATAAAAATGGAAATAAAAATAAATGCATTGAGAAAAAAAGTGCAATCTGACACCATTGACAATAGACCGGGGATGGGTGGATGGTTGGATGGACAGCTTGGGCCTGGCCTGGTGTGGTGCCTCTGATTTGTATGCTGAGGATGATGTTGATGCTACCGATGATGATGATGATTTCGGTTGCAAATGACAAATGATGACCTGGTTGGAGAGAAAAATAATAAAAAAAATCATGACACGGTTGATAGATCCACCGTTGTTGTATTTTTCCGGTCTTGTTGTTGTTGTTCGAGTGAATTTATTGTAATTTTTGCGTGTTTTATTCTGTGTTACTATTGTTGTTGGCTCTTGTTTGTCTCAGATGTCTGCTGCTGGTGATGAGGCCAAGTGGATAAACGAAATGACAAAACAAAAAATATTACAAGGATGAATTAAATTGACATGAAATGGGTCAATAATTGCATTGAAGGTCTCTGCAAATGAGACGGGCAATGAGATGATAATAATGGCAAACAGAGAGAGAGAGCAGCAGAGGGAGAGATATGGTTGGACGAAGCGGGAGTGAGAGATATGGGTTATTCAAAAGGGCAAAGCTGCTATCTGGTGTTTCCATGGTATTTTCTTGCAATGAAAATGATTAAGAATGTGTTATAATCTATAAAGATTTTCCATGAAACTGTTATACTGTATAACAGTTTACCATCAAAGTGTTATACTCTACAGAAAATATTTTTCAAAAGTAAATTTGGAAAAATAAAACTGTTAAAGTGTTGTACTGTCACAAAAACTGTTATACGCTTTAACAAATTCCTGAAAACTATTATACTCAATTTATATGATACCAGATATAGCATCAAAAGTGTAATAATGATTTATCTGTTGTAAAATTCTAACAGAAACTGTTATACTCGAGAGCTGGAAATACAGAAAATGCCTTTAAAACTGTTATAATGCTAGAAAAACTGTTATACGCCTTATCTAATGCCTATAAAACTGTTATACTCGAAGGAAAATTATGCAAAAAGGATCTCCAAAACTGTTATACTCATTATGAAATGTTTGTGAAACTGTTATACTCGAAAGAAAATGTTACCCAGTGCCAATTGAATTGTTGTAATGCTAGAAAAACTGTTATACGCCGTATTTAATGTCTATAAAACTGTTATACTCGATTGAAAATGATCCAAAAAAGAACTTCAAAACTGTTATACTCATTAAGAAATGTTTGTGAAACTGCAAAAAAAAACTCCAAAAGTTTTATAGCGTACAATAAACTGTTATACTCATTGTGAAATAATTGTGAAACTGTTATACTCGAGAGAAAATGTTGCCGAATGCCAACTGAATTTTTATAACGCTAGAAAACCTGTTATACGCCTTATTTAATGTATATAAAACTGTTATACTCGATGGAAAGTTGTGCAAAACGGAACTTAAAATGTGTTTAGGGTTCACAAATCTGTTATAATCATTATGAGAAACTGTTATACTACATTAAAAATATTACCCAACGCAAATTAAATTGTTATAATGCTAGAAAAACTGTTATACGCCTTATTTAATGTCTATAAAACTGTTATACTCGATGGAAAATTGTGAAAAAAGAACTCCAAAAGTGTTATAGCGTACAATAAACTGTTATACTCATTATGAAATGTTTGTGGAACTGTTAAACTCGAGAGAAAATGTTGCCGAATGACAATTGAATTGTTATAATGCTGAACAACTGTTATACGCCTTATTTAATGTCTTTAAAACTGTTATACACCATGCAAAATTATGCAAAACGGAACTACAAAAGTGTTAAAGCGTACAATTAACTGTTATACTCGTTATGAAATGTTTGTGAAACTTTTATACTCGAAAGAAAATATTGCCGAATGCCAATTGAATTGTTATAATGCTAGAAAAACTGTTATACGCCTTATTTAATGCCTATAAAACTGTTATACTCAATAGAAAATGATGCAAAACGGAAATTAAAACATGTTTTGGGGTACAAAAAACTGTTATACTCATTATGAAATATTTGTGAAACTTTTATACTCGAAAGAAAATATTGCCGAATGCCAATTGAATTGTTATAATACTAGAAAAACTGTTATACGGCAATTTCGTGAAACAGTTATACTACATTGAAAATATTACCCAATGCCAATTGACTTGTTTTAATGCTAGCAAAACTGTTATACGCCTTATTTAATGTGTCTAAAACTGTTATACTCGGTGGGAAATGATGCAAAAAAGTACTTAAAATGTGTTTTAGGGTATACAAAACTGTTATACTAATGAGAAGTTTTGTGAAACTGTTATACTCGAAAGAAAATTTTACCCAATGTCAATTGAATTGTTATAATGCTAGACAAACTGTTATACGCCTTATTAAATGAATTTCAACCTGTTATACTCGATGGAAAATGATGAAAAGAGCGACTTCAAAAGTATTATATCGTACAATAAAATGTTATACTCATTATGTAATGTTTGAGAAACTGTTATACTGCATTGAAAATATTACCCAAAGTCAATTGAATTGTTATAACGCTAGAAAAACTGTTATACGCCTTATTTAATGTCTATAAAACTGTTATACTCAATGGAAAATGATGCAAAAGGGACTTCAAGAGAGTTAAAGCATACAATAAACTGTTATACTCATCATGACATGTTTGTGAAACTGTTATACTCGAAAGAAAATGTTACCCAATGCCAATTGAATCGTTATGATGCTAGAAAAACTGTTATACGCCTTATTTAATGTCTATAAAACTATTATACTCGATGGAAAATGATGCAAAAAGTATCTCCAAAAGTGTTATAGCGTACAATAAACTGTTATACTCATTTTAAAATGCTTGTGAAGCTGTTATACTACAGTGAAAATGTTATAATGCTAGGATAACTTTTATACGTCTTATTTAATGTCAATAAAATTGTTATAACGCTAGAAAAACTTTTATACGCCGTATTTAATGTCTATAAAACTGTTATACTCGATGAAAACTGATGCAAAAAGGAACTTCAAAAGGGTTATAGCGCACAATAAACTGTTATACTAATTATGAAACTGTTATACTCGAGAGAAAATGTTACCAAATGCCAATTGAATTGTTGTAATGCTAGAAAAACTGTTATACGCCGTATTTAATGTCTATAAAACTGTTATACTCGATAGAAAATTATGCAAAAAGGAGCTACAAGAGTGATATAGCATACAATAAACTGTTATACTCAATATGAAATGTTTGTGAAACTGTTATACTACATTAAAAATGCTACCGAATGCCAATTGAATTGTTTTAATGCTAGAAAAAACTGTTATACGTCTTATCTAATGCCTATAAAACTGTTATACTCAACAACAACGAACGTAAAAAAGAACTTAAAATGTGTTTTAAGGTACATAAGACTGTTATACTCATTATGAAATGTTTATGAAACTGTTATACTACATTAAAAATGTTACCAAATGCCAATTGAATTGTTATAATACTAGGAAAACTGTTATACGCCTTATTAAATGCCTATAAAACTGTTATACTCAATGGAAAATGATGCAAAACGGAATTCCAAAAGTTTAAAGCGTACAATAAACTGTTATACTCATTATGAGAACTTTTGTGAAACTGTTATGCTCGAAAGAAAATTGTGCCGAATGCCATTTTTCCTCATTAAATCTTGCTTCCAATGCCAATTGAGCTCTGATACCGTTATTTTACTATTATTCATAACCTGTATGGAGCCAATTATCATGTGCGAGATATTAAAAACAAACAATAAATTAATGGAAATTTCAACATGCCGTTAATATGATATGGAAGTAATGACACTCACACACACATATACACAAATACATATGAACATATAGGTACACTTATATATGTATAATTATGGGGGAGGACACCAAAAGGATTCAAATATATATATAAGTATATTTACTGTATCTACTTTGGCCATTAATGATTGTGAAGATGCTCTGTAGTTGTTGTTGTTATAATATTTGTTGTTATTTATGTTTTTGTTGTGGTCTTGATGTGTTCGGACTGCTGCTGCTGCTGCTGCCGACAATGAGGGCGACGACAATGATGATGATGCTGATGAAGAGGAGGTGGAGGAGGACTTGACACTGGCTGCGGCAGCAGGTATTGTAGTGGTAGTAGTTGTTGTTGTAGAGGTCGAGGAGGTGGTCGATGTTGTTGTAGTTGTTGAAGACGTCGAGGAGGACGACGACGATGACGACGATGTTGAAGTAGATGAAGTTAATAAAGTGTTATTTAAATCCACAACAGTTGCTGAGGCAATTGAAGCAGCAGCAGATGCAGATGCAGGGGCTCCATTGGCCTTGGCCATAGCTGGGTATGAGGATGACGATGATTGCATTTTCTGGCTGGCAATACGCATTGCAGCTGACAATGATGAGGTGGATGATGTGGTTAATGATGATGCTGATGATGTTGCCGAGCTCTGGGGGGACTTGGCCGCCCTCGATGAGGACAGCAGGGACATGGGTGACCATAGGAACAGATTCATTTTCTTGAATAATTTTGTTGTTCGATTTGGCAGGGTAAAGAACGATAGAGGCAATGATGATGTTTGCTGTTGTTGTTGCTGATGAGATGACATGAGTGTTAAAGCAGATTTGCTGTTTTTGTTGCTATTATTGCTATTTAATGACAATGTGGCAGAGGCGGAGTTTAAAGAGGATGATGATGCAGGAATATAACTACCACCGTATCCATTTATGATGCCCCCACCATTGATGGCTATTGATTTGTCTTTATGCTGCAATGCACCCCGCAATACCATTACCCAGCGTACGAGGGGTGGGATGATAACGAGGGCAATAAATTTAATGTGATTTTTTTTTTTTGGTTTTCATTGCACCGGGGGAGAAGAGTCATTAAAAAAAAAACACAAAGAGAGAAAGAGAAAGAAAATAAGAATGGGAAAATTTATGGTGAGAGAACTCTTTGGAAAAATACAATCAAATTTGTTGGTGTCGGTGTTGCTACAATTGGTGGTGTTGCTGTTGTTGTTATTGTTGTAAACGAAAAGAAAACAAAAGACAAATTGCAAAATTGAACAATCCACAATAACAATACAATACAATACGATATATGGGTATAAATAATTCAATACAAATATAATAGTTGTTGTTATTGTTGGCAAATTCATAGAGTCTCTGAAAAAGTCCGGCTGATATGGAAAGTGAACTAAGTCCAAAAGTTTTGAATTTTTTTTTCAAAAAAAAAAAAATAAAAAAATAAATAAAAAAATAATAATAAATAAATAAATAAAAAATAAAAAAATACAAAAATGAATTTTTTTCAAAAAAAAAAAAAAATAAATAAATAAATGAATAAATAAATACATAAAAAAATACAAAAAAAAAAAAAAAATAAAAAAAGCAATAAATAAATAAAATTTGATATCGGAACAAAATGTTAAATTTGATTTTAAGAAAATGTAGTCCTGAAGGTACTGTACAAAAATATTTATTTTTATATAAAAAATATTTTTTTGTCACATTCTTTGTTTTATAAAAAAATACAATTTTTTTTAGAAAAAAATACTGTTTTGTGTTAAATTTTCCAAACAATAAATATAGTACCAAGACTCTGTGACTTTTCAACAGAAGATAAAATGTGAAAATATTTTCTATTAAACAAATTAAAATCTATATATAAAAAAAAAAGATTTAAATTTTGATTTCGGAACAAAATTTAATATTAGACTTCAGGAAAATTGAAGTCCTGGAGGTACTGTACAAAATATTTTTTATATAAAATTTATTTTTTGTTACATTTTATAAAAAAATCCATTTTTTTTTTGGAAAAAATAATGTTTTGGATTAAATTTTCCAATAAAAAAAATACAGTACCAAGACTCTGTGATTTTTCAACCGAAGATACAGTACCTGGAAAATATAAAAATATTTTCTATTAAGCAAATTAAAAAATATCAATCGAAAAAAATGATTTCAATTTTGATTTCGGAAAAAAATGTAAAATTTGATTTCAGGAAAAAATTGGTCCTGGGGGTACTGTACAAAAATATTTTTTTTATAAAAATAAATTTTTTGTTACATTGTTTGTTTTATAAAAAATCCATTTTTAAATGGAAAAAATACAGTTGTGAGTTAAATTTTCCAAAGAAAAAATACAGTACCAAAACTCTTTGATTTTTCAACCGAAGATACAGTACCTGTAAAATGTGAAAATATTTTCTATTAAACAAATTAAAAAGTTTCAATCGAAAAGAAAATGATTTCAATTTTGATATCGGAACAAAATGCAAAATTTGATTTCAGGAAAAATGTAGTCCTGAAGGTACTGTACAAAATATTTTTGTATATAAAAATTATTTTTTTGTTACATTTTCTAAAAAATCCAATTTTTTATGGAAAAAAATACTGTTTTGGGTTAAATTTTCCAATGAAAAAATACAGTACCAAGACACTGCGATTTTTCAACCGATGTGAAAATATTTTTCAAAATCAATGTGAAAATATTTTCTATTAAAGAAATTAAAAAATATCAATCGAAAAAAAAAAATGATTTCAATTTTGATTTCGGAACAAAGTGCAAAATTTGATTTCTGGAAAAATGTAGTCCTGCAGGTACTGTACAAATATATTTTTTATATAAAAATTATTTTTTGTCACATTCTTTTTTTTATAAAAAATCCAATTTTTTTGTGAAAAAAATACTGTTTTGGATTAAATTTTCCAAAGAAAAAATACAGTACCAAGACACTGTGGTTTTTCAACCGAAGATACAGTACCTGTAAACTGTGAAAATATTTTCTATTTAAACAAATTAAAAAATATCAATCGAAAAAAATGATTTAATTTTTGATATCGGAAAAATATGTAAAATTTGATTTCAGGAAAAATGTAGTTCTGGAGGTACTGTACAAAATATTCATTTTTATATAAACATCAATTTTTGTCACATTCTTTGTTTTATAAAAAAAATTCAATTTTTATGGAAAAAATACAGTTTTGGATTAAATTTTCCAAACAATAAATACAGTACCAAGACTCTGTGATTTTTCAACAGAAGATACAGTACCTGTAAAATGTGAAAATATTTTCTTTTAAACAAATTAAAAAATATCAATCGAAAAAAAATTATTTGATATCGGAAAAATGCAAAATTTGATTTCTGGAAAAATGCAGTTCTGTGAAGGTCCACGTCTTCGTATAGCTCCCATATAACGGCACCACCCGATATTCCGTATTTTGCTATTTTAAGCAACAATATTCACCGGAATTGTTTCAAATTTGGTATTTGAAGTTCGTAATGGATACTACAGCCTGTGACAGAAAATTGTCTGGACATGCCCACGTCTTCGTATTGTCCCCATATAACGTTACCTCCATATATTCGGTATTTTTATGATTTAAGCGACATTATTCACCGGAATTGTTTCAAATTTGGTATTTGAAATTCGTAATGGGTACTTCAGCCTATGACAGAAAATTGTTGGTGCGGGTCACGTCTTCGCATAGCTCCCATATAATGGTATTTTTGGTATTTTCATGATTTTAGCTACATTATTCACCGAATTTTTTTTAAGTTCGCATTTGAATATTGGACCCTAATATAACGGTTACATTCGGTATTTTTAAGATTTTGACAGAATTTTTAACGGATTTTATTTTTTAGAAAATTGCGAAATTCGTTGCAAATGGTGGAGGGTATTCAAAGTTCGCCCCGGCCGAACTTACAGTTTTTTAAATTTTTTTTCTCCCGAAGAAAATACAGTCCCTTTTGGATTCCACCATTTTCCCCCACATTCAAGGACTTATATCACTTTCCCGAGTAACGAAAAATCGCTCTACACCTTTTCCATGAATTTGTGAATAGGTTGAATTGTCATTTGCCGTGTAGCTGAGTTGTCGTCTCTCTGTAGCCGTGTGTGTGTGTTTGTGTGTCTCTCTGTTGGTAGTTGTGTGTGTGTGTGTGCAGGGAATATCTGTAGTTTTCTACATTTATTTCATAGACACTTGAACATACTGCCATTGATGCTGATTCTGCTGCTATGGCTGTAACTTGGAATACAAATGAAGCTGTAGAGATTTTGACAATACCTCCGGTAGATACTTCAGAACATGGATGGCAGTATGGATGGATGGATGGATAGATGAATGGATGGCTGGCTGGCTGCCTGGTTGGGTGACTATTGGATATCTTGTGGGGTATAAGAGTTCGAATGGACGTGGAGAATGTGAAAATGATGATTGGATTTTTTGTTAGGGTGGGACGAGGTAAAAGAGGCTAAAGACACAAATGGCTGGGTGGGTGGCTAGGTTGCTTGCATTTCCATTGCCTTTTCTTGGCTCTCCTGTCTGAATGCCTAGTTTGCCTCTGGCTGTTCATTGAAAACTGTTTGTCAATTTGTCTCTCTATCTCTCCATGTGGGTGTGTGTGTCTGTGTGTGTTCGTAGTTAATTTAAATATCATCATACTTTTAGTCACAAAAAAATATAATTTAATAAAAAAAAAAACGAAGAAAATACTTTTCTCTGTGGTTTCCAAAAAGATCTACAGCTTTTCTTCGTTGCTTACTATTGTAGCCTGGAATACTAGAAATCTCTCTAGAAGATGGTGAGTGTCTATGAAAGTGAGGAGGTGGTGTGGGGTGTGTATTTTTTTTTTTTGCTTTAAATGGATTGTATGTGTATATTCAGGTCTATAGAAATTTTTGTGCAAAAAATTTATATTTTTTGATAATTTTTTTCTCTAGTTTTTTTTTTTTTGAATTTTTTTTCTTGCGGTGTATAACATCATCATCTACATTGGTGCTTTCTTTAAAAAAAAGAGGTTAAATATAAATAGAAATATTATTATTAAGTAGGGGTCTTTGTGTGTAAAAAATATTTGCAATGGACTTTTTCTGTGGGGCCTTCCAGTTGTAGTTGAGTTGCTGAGAATTGATTTGATGAGAAGGCCTCGGGTGCGTATGATCATTTTTTTAATTTATTTTTAAAAATATTCATACGCCCCCTAGCTTCTGGAAATTATGATAAATTATACGACACATAGTACGCCAAATATAAAATTATTTATGGAAAATAATTTACAGACAGACCTCCTGAGACTTGAGGGAATTTTTTTCCAAATAAAAGAAACTTTGTCTTAAAATCCAATGACCAAAAATCCGAAAATTTTTTTTTATGGGAAAATCTTAATCCTGGGAGAAATTGTTTTGCTAGATTAGAAGTTCTTCTTGAACCACATTCATACGTCCCCTAGATTCTGGCAATTATTATTAGTTAAGCGCAACAAACACCCAAATAGCAAAATATTTTTAGAAAAAAAATAAAAATTAAACAGACCTTCTCCTGGGGCCTGAGAGAATTTTTAACCGATAATTTCCTATGGGAAAAAACTCTATCCTGACAGAAATTTTATTTGCTAGATTTTTGGGCGTATGATCATTAGAAGTTTATCTTGAACAACATTCATACGCCCCCCTAGGTTCTGGAAAAAATTATTATTAGTTATACGCCACAATGGCACAAATAGAAATTATTTATAGAAAATAATGTCCGAACGATGTCCGTCCCTCTGTCCGTCCATCCGTCTGTGGATATCACTCTAGCTTCCGAACGATATGAAGTAGGTACACAAAATTTTACTCAAATGTGTATTATGTCTGCAAGATTTTTGGTATTTTAAAATGGGTCCTGTAGGGCCACGTTATGGTACAGCCGGTACCTCCCGATATTCGGTACTTTGATGATTTTAGCGACATTATTCACCGGAATCGTTTCC